GGCTCGGCTGCGAGCCGGTGTGAGCGCGCTGGGGGTCGGGAGTCGAACTCTGTGTCCACGGGAGCACTGATCACGGGGAAAGTGGACGGACACCCCGTGAGTGTGCGTCCTCGTATTTGGGAGCGTCTGTGTGTTGGTGAGTGAGAGCGTGCGCCCCTGCAGTGTCAATAGCTGAACTTGTAGAACTTTGTGTGTGTGTGTGTGTGTGTGTGTGTGTGTGTGTGTACACGCGCGCTCTGGAGTGGGCGCCGGGTGGCGGCTGGAGACCCACGAACCCATAGAGGCCGGCTCATTCCGGGGCACTCTGGGTGGCCCGCCCCCGCCTGGGCGTCGGTAAGACTTGGGGGGGGGGGTGATTGGGGCAGTGGCCTGAAAGGACAGTTAAGCCGCTGTCAGGGGACTGTTAATCTGGCCGGGGGTGCTGCAGGAAGGGTCTGTCTGGCAAAAGGCAGTGTCCTCCCTCCACTCCCCAACCAGGGTGCAGGTTTGGGACCCTTGGAGCCAGACGTAAGGGCCAAGCCCTGCTGTGGGCTAGAACTGTTCCTTTCCGTATCCTTGGGGCCACAGCCTTAGGTGCCCGGTGTGTTTTGGGTCTAGGCTGGGGTAATGGGGAGCTTTTGAGGACCAGGGTGAGGCCCCAGTAAAGTCTCAGTTATCTCAGTGGGTAGGAGTGGTTGGGAAGGAGATTCTTTGAGCAGACAGAGCCCACAAAAGCTCCCTGAGAATCAGAGATCTCTATTCCTATCCTGCCTTAGCCTCTGTGTGACCTGGGCAAGGCATGTTCCTACTCCGAGCCTCACGGCCTCACCTGAGAAAGGGAAATAACGATGGGGAACTGGAGGGCTCTTGGGGAGCTGGTGTGTGGGCCCTGTTCAGCACCAATGTCTTCTTGGACAGGATCACAGCTTGGGGGTGGGATCAGTTCCTAGACTCTAGGCCAGTGATGGCGAACCTTTTGAGCTCAGCGTGTCAGCATTTTGAAAAACCCTAACTTCACTCTGGTGCCGAGACTCTAGGCCAGTGATGGCGAACCTTTTGAGCTCAGCGTGTCAGCATTTTGAAAAACCCTAACTTAACTCTGGTGCCGTGTCACATATAGAAATTTTTCGATATTTGCAACCATAGTAAAACAAAGACATATTTTTGATATTTATTTTATATATTTAAATTCCACTTAACAAAGAAAAATCAACCAAAAAAATGAGTTCGCGTGTCACCTCTGACTCGCGTGTCATAGGTTCGCCATCACTGCTCTAGGACCTAGAGGGAACTTCCTGAAACCCAAATCCCAACAGTTCTCTGAGCTAAACTTTCACAGGACTTCCACAGGACCCAGCCTGAACCCCTCAGCCTGGGACTCAAGGCCTCCAAGAACTGATCCTTGCCAGCCTCTCTAGCCCCCTCTCCCACCTGACTTTTCACCCGCTAGTAACTGCATGGAGTCTGCTACACATACTGGGCAGTTCCTTGCCTCTGGATCACTATGTATGCTAAGCTCACTGCTTGAAATGCCTCCCTCCTCTCCTCTTCCTCAGTTCGGCCCAGCTCAGATGTCTCCTCCTCTGGGAAGCCCTCCTTGATCCCCCAGTTAGTTTGGGTTCTTCTGGGATCTTGCAGTCCCAGTGCTGACAGCCCTGCTCTCACTTGGACTATCATGGCCTCTGTCTGTCTCCTTTCCAATCCCCAGGTCTGAGGCCCCCTGGAGGGCAGGAACTGGGGCTTATTTCTGTGTTGCCAGCACCCTGTACAGGGCTGAACTGAACTGAGAAAGCAACAGCAGTGCCTATCCTCTGCCCTGTGCCCAGCTTCTCCAATGAAGGCCTTCTACAGTGGAGCTCTATGTCATTACAAAGAAGGGGAAACCAGAACCAGGTCATCAGAGTGGGTGGCACAGGATATCAGAACAGTGTGTCCTGGGGCACTACAGGACCCAGAGTAAACAGGCTGAAAACTTGGATTTCATCTGAAGGCTATGGGGAGCCATGGAAGGTTTATGAGCAGGAGAGATTCGTGTTCAGAGAACATATCAGAAAGCTCTCTGGCTGCAGGGTGGAGAATGGATTGAGTAGTGCTAAGTGCATGGAGGTCAGGGCATTTGTGATATTGATACCAGAATCATCCAGGCATTGTTTCAACTATGAGCCCTTACCCCCTTGTTTAAACACTTCCCTGACCCCTCAGATGCTTCTGCTGAGGAATTTGAGGACACTTAGGACTTTCCCTCCCCCTTAGGGAGCCAGGGGACCAGTGAGTGATTGATCACATCCCAGCTCTGCCCCCAACTTGCCGGGTGACCTTGGGGCAATTCCTATCTCGCCAGCCTCTAAAAGGAGGCTAGAACCGGTAAGGCCCTGTGCTGAGAATTTGTGCGTGGGGAGGCCCTGGCATGGACGGCTTGTCACTCTTCTCTCTTTCCTGCCTTGGGCTGTCTTGAGATCTGGCCAAATGGGTTGGAGGATCGTAGTGGGAGACCCTCATAAATGGCTGCCAATGATCCTTACCTCTTCAAGTGCTAGGATGCTATGAGGATTCTTAAGATAGTGGTCAAGAAAGGGCTTTGTAAGCTGCAATGCACAGGGAAGCAGTGTGATACTCACAGACTGAAAGGCATTTTGAAGACAATAACAGAAAATAGGTGCAATAGCAAGGGGTCACGTTAACTGTTTGGGGAATTTTAACTGTTGACTGCCCTCCTCTGCCTGTGCCACCTCTGCTCACTAGGACTAATTTATAAATGTCCCTCCACCACCCCTGTTAGGGAGGAATTATTATCTCCATTTTGCAAATGAGCAAATAGGGGCTCAGGAAACAAGGTCACAAAGCCAAGGTAAAAGCTGGGCTCCTGCCTACCTGCCCCAGCTTAGATCTCCCCATTCAAGACAGAAGCCCCATCTAGATGTAGCCCGGCCCTCCGGCTTTCGGGCTGAAGGAAGTTTGAATCATGCCCTGAAAACCTGTCTTTAGGTTGTGCTGTGGCCTGATTACCCAGCTGCTGATAATCTAATGCCCACTCAGGCCTGCCCTCAGGACTAGGGAAGCCTTGTTGATCTGGTGAGAGGAGATAGAGGTGCCCCTAATGAAATCGTTCCTCTCCCTGAACTGCCTTCTGTGGACCTGTCTAGCGTGCCCGTTGGCCTACATCTTCTTCTTGGGCTGCCTTTGTGTTCTCAGGCCTGGCCTCCCAGCCGTTCAGGCCTGACGGTGGGGAGGCCGGTGTGGGGGCCCATCCTGACCTCTGTACTCATCCGAGAGATCAGTTGCAGGACTTGGCCAGGCCAGGCCAGGCCTGCTTTCTCTCTATGTCCACATCACGCAACACAGGTTGGGCTAAAAGAGATGCCAGTAAGTGTTTGGGAAATGAATGACCAGGTGAAAGTGGGCGTATAGTGGAAGAGGAGGGCCTTGCTCCATGGAGAGCTACAGTTGGTTCTTGAGCAGAGGAGTTCCTCCACTCCCTCGCCTCAGCATATCTTAGCCCTGAGTCATTTCTGCTTCAGGATGAATAACTAGAGTTCCTGCTGTGAGAGTGGGCAGCCTGGGCCCTTTTGGGCAACTACTTCCTCCTTGGCCCTCTATCCTGGTACCCTGTCACTGTTACTGTATTGACAATGACACTGCCTGGGCTCTGGAGCATGGGAGAAGGGCCTCCCTCAGACTTCTTGGGGCCCACATGACCCTCCCCTCTCCCCCTGCGTTTGGGGAGTCTCCTCCCTCCTAACCACCTTCCATATGGCACTATCTCTACAAAAGTCAACTCAGACCATGTCCTTCCCTGCTTAAGCCCTGCCATGGCTTCCCATTGTCCTCAGGATAGAGGCCAAGTTCTTCAGCCTGGCATTCCATGTGAGTCCTGCAGCCCTCCCCCTTGCACATACACATTCTGTGCCACCTGTCCCTCCACTCCGGCCTCACATGACCCCTGGCTTTAGGCAAACAGTCCACACTATCACACCACTGAGTCTTTGTACCTGCTCTTCCTTCTGCCTTCAATGCTCTCCTACATCTGTATCCACCTAACAAACTCCTAATCATCTATCAGGACCCAGCTCAAATGACCCCTCCTCTGGGAAGCTCTTCCTGGCCACCTTACCAGGCTCATTAGGGGTTCTATGAGCTCTATGGCCCCTGGGCTTCCTTTGGTCATGACTTGATCACCCAAGTAGACTTGATCCATATCTGTGGCTTTCTTCCCATTCAGACTGGAGCTCTTCAAGGGCTTGACTGAGTCTGATCTGAGTCTGGATTTACAGGGTCCCTCTGAGGTCAGGCCCCTGGGGGCATTGGCAGGTGTTTGCTGAGACTTTGGCTCCTGGGAAAATGACTTGTGATTATGTTGTTCTGAGGGTCCAGACTGCTGTGGTTCTGAGAATCTCAAGAGCAACAAGTAACAGAATTAAAGAAACATTTAGCATTTACTCCAAGAACCAGAGACTCTTGCAATTGGACTGTAAGTACCAATGAACCCAGAATCCTGGGAGCACTCGGAATGAGACAGTCTCAGAATCACAGACTCACTTGTATCCCATTCTTCAGCTTTGTCCCTTTTTCTACTTTGGGTCCTCCATTCTCCCTTTTTCCTTCCAGTCTGAACTCTTTCTGCTTCTCTTCATACCTGATCACAGCCCTTTCCAGGAACTTTCCCTGACTGTCCTGACCATGGCCCCTCTGCTGGATCACCTAGGAGGGCCCCCTGCTGAGAAGTCTTTCAGTGTCTCTGCCATGACAGGAGATGCAGCCCTCACAGCAGGACAGAGCATGATTTGCTAGCCCCATGGAGCACCCACCTGTCATTCCTCGTGAGCTGTCTTGTGTAGTGGTGACTGTCCCCAATTGACCACTGAAGAACACAAGGCTCAGAGAGGGGAACCAATTTGACCGAGATTGCACAGCATGGACAGTTCCAAGCTGGAGCCTGAACCCAGGGTTCTTGCCTCTTGAGTCTGGCTGGAGGCATCTGGATTGTGATAGGTTGATGTGAAGTCCAGGGCCTTGTGGTTCTGAACTAGTTCAGCTTAGCAGTGCATCTCTATAGCCTTGTGCTGGGTGGGGTTGGGCTGGACCGTGCCAGGCCAGGGGTAGTAGGACAGGTAGTTTGGAGTCCTCCCCTGGGGTGAGGGTGGAGGTGCTCAACTCCACACTGAAAATACTGGAATTAGAACACCAGACCTTGAGTAAGGCCCTTACTCTTAAGGAGTCTCAGTTACCTGATCTGAGGTGGGAGGACCAGACAGGCTGATCTGAGAACCACACACATTCAGAGGCTCTGAGCTCAACCCCAACATGTGGCTCCCACAGCCAAGATTCTAAGGGCTCCCAAGGGGGAGAGTGCCTCCAGAGTGGCTGCAGAGCACAAGGGCTTCCTGGAGAGGCTGCAGAGGTTGTACTTTGCAACTGCACCTGTCGATAACATCTGAGGTTACCCCTCAGCTACTTCCCCAGATGAGTCCAGTGCTTCTGGTGTAGAAAGCACTCCAGGCAAGGCTGGGGCCCACTGGCCTTCAGCTCTGTGGGTGAGATTTGGGAGGGGACAGAGAATGACTTCCAAGATGCTCCCTGTCTTTTAACCCAGCCTTGTCCTCTCTTCTCCCCTCAATCCACAGGGATGACTAACAGTTCCCCAAACATACTGTGTGATCTATTGCCCTGGTTTTTTGCTCACTCTGCTTTTCTTCTCTCTTCGCTCACCTGACCCCTTCCAAAATACAGATCAGGCGTCCTCTCCTCCAGGAAGCCTTCCTTGACCACCTCCCCATTCCTATTAGGGGTCCTCTTGTCTGGTTTAGCCCTGTTGCCTCTGCTTTCTTCAGCCCGGATCACCCTGAGTTGTCATTACCTATTTCTGGGTCTTTTCCCATGTGCTACCTACCCCTTCTTCGCCAACCTAGACAGTGACCCACCTTGGAATCCCAAGAGCCTTATACAGGGACAGGCATCAACGTGACAACCTCTAAAAAAAGGGTGAGTGAGTGAAGAAATGTTGTGGGATCAAGTTCCTGCTGGGGGCCCCTGAGGGTGGCCTTCAGTGTGGGAAACTTGATCTGTGACGTTTCTACTGTGCCCCAAATTCTTGTGGGTTTCCTGCCCCTCTTGTCTTCCTAAGATACTGTTCTTAGATGGCAAGGGATTGAGACTTAAGTTGTGGAGAGGAGACTTGTCCAGGTCCCACAGCTGAGAATGACAGAACTGGGATTTTCCACCTGCCTGGGGCCCTCCCCTGTCCTTCGATGATATTCCAGGTCTGCTTCCCTTCACAGCAGAAGCAGGCAGCAGAAGTTTCCAGAACAGTGATGGGTCACAATCCCCTTCCCGTCTGGACAGGGCCAGCTAGGTGGGTGGGTGAGCGGGTACATTCCAGAGCCACCCTAGTGGAAGAGCTGGAATGTCTTCTAACCACCCTGGAAATTCCTCAGCTGGCCTGGGAACTGCCCAGCCCTTCCTCCTGGCCTTGGGCGCACTGGCCTGGGACCCAGGGTGGGTAGAGGCAGAGCCAAGGAAGTGGGGCAGGTATTCTGCATGTTTGGCTTGGCACTTTCTGGCCTTAGTTATTGTGAGATGGGTACAATAACCATCATGGCTGCTTCACACCTAGAGTAGATCCTGGGCCCTGCCTGTAGGGCAGTGGTAGAGAACCGACCAGGAAAGCAGAGCCATGGGGCTCACCGAGGGCTAGTCAGGGAGCTTCCCGGAGGGGAGAACCTAGGCCTTGGAGGGAAGGAGGTGGTGGTCAGGGGCACAGCTCCTCAAGTCAGACAGACCAGGCTGCTCTGCCATTTGCTAGCTTTGTGACCTTGGAGAGGTTGTTTTGCTTCTCTAAGCTCCTCGGGATTAAATGAGAAGGGATCTGTGAAGCCACCAAAGATGGAACTTGGCAGAGAAAGCACTCCTCTCTGGTTATATTACTGTTAGAAGTTAAGGGATGTGTTCCTGAGCAAAGATAGACCATGAGACTGCTTCTGCTGTGCTTGGCACAGGAAGATGAGGGCGGAGGCAGAGAGGGTGGGCTGTCTGGAGCAGTGGTCACCAACCTTTCGGACCTCACGGACCACCAGTTGGCGACCACTGGTCTGGAGGGTTGGCAGGGCCTGGAGTGTCAGGCTCAGGCACTCGGACATAGGGTAATAGGGAGTCATGGAAGGGTCCTGAGCTTCACAGTATGGTCAGGTTCATGTTTTAAGAAGACCTGTGACTGCCGTACAAAAGATGGCTAGGAGGGCAGGAGTAGAGGCAAGGGGACCAGAGAGGGGGTTGGTACAATGTGGAGGAGAAATGCAGGCCTAAGGCCATGAGGTGGGGGAAATGCCATCCCTGAGTCACTGTACTGGTTGAACTGACAGGAGCTGGTGAGTGATGGTTTTCACATGGGTGGGACAGAGAGAGGTTGTCAAGGGCATATTAGAGGTTTGAAGCCTGGAAAGATGGATGGTGGAGACCCTTCTCAGAAATCGGAGGGTGGCTTTGAGAAAGAGTTGTGCTCCACCTTAGTCTGTTGAGTGAAGGCCTCTCCTGAGAAGACAGGGTGTGACCCTGGGTGGAGTCGGGTGAAAAGGTGAAGTTCTTTCATCTTGTCACTAGACTCCAGAGCAGATTGACACATAGCTACCTGCCCACTGGCCCAGGTCAGCCTGGGATCCTGAGGCAAGGCCCACTAGGAACACAGTGCCCAGGGTTATTTCCCAGTGCCTTTATTCCCGTCCTATTCCCGCAGCCTCCCATCTCCTCTCTCCACTTTCCGCCACGCTCGCGCTGCACCCCAGCCTGGGGACCTGGCCTCGGCGCCAGCTAGGTGGGTGGGTGAGCGGGTACATTCCAGAGCCACCCTAGTGGAAGAGCTGGAATGTCTTCTAACCACCCTGGAAATTCCTCAGCTGGCCTGGGAACTGCCCAGCCCTTCCTCCTGGCCTTGGGCGCACTGGCCTGGGACCCAGGGTGGGTAGAGGCAGAGCCAAGGAAGTGGGGCAGGTATTCTGCATGTTTGGCTTGGCACTTTCTGGCCTTAGTTATTGTGAGATGGGTACAATAACCATCATGGCTGCTTCACACCTCGAGTAGATCCTGGGCCCTGCCTGTAGGGCATTCCCAGTGGTAGAGAACCGACCAGGAAAGCAGAGCCATGGGGCTCACCGAGGGCTAGTCAGGGAGCTTCCCGGAGGGGAGAACCTAGGCCTTGGAGGGAAGGAGGTGGTGGTCAGGGGCACAGCTCCTCAAGTCAGACAGACCAGGCTGCTCTGCCATTTGCTAGCTTTGTGACCTTGGAGAGGTTGTTTTGCTTCTCTAAGCTCCTCGGGATTAAATGAGAAGGGATCTGTGAAGCCACCAAAGATGGAACTTGGCAGAGAAAGCACTCCTCTCTGGTTATATTACTGTTAGAAGTTAAGGGATGTGTTCCTGAGCAAAGATAGACCATGAGACTGCTTCTGCTGTGCTTGGCACAGGAAGATGAGGGCGGAGGCAGAGAGGGTGGGCTGTCTGGAGCAGTGGTCACCAACCTTTCGGACCTCACGGACCACCAGTTGGCGACCACTGGTCTGGAGGGTTGGCAGGGCCTGGAGTGTCAGGCTCAGGCACTCGGACATAGGGTAATAGGGAGTCATGGAAGGGTCCTGAGCTTCACAGTATGGTCAGGTTCATGTTTTAAGAAGACCTGTGACTGCTGTACAAAAGATGGCCAGGAGGGCAGGAGTAGAGGCAAGGGGACCAGAGAGGGGGTTGGTACAATGTGGAGGAGAAATGCAGGCCTAAGGCCATGAGGTGGGGGAAATGCCATCCCTGAGTCACTGGACTGGTTGAACTGACAGGAGCTGGTGAGTGATGGTTTTCACATGGGTGGGACAGAGAGAGGTTGTCAAGGGCATATTAGAGGTTTGAAGCCTGGAAAGATGGATGGTGGAGACCCTTCTCAGAAATCGGAGGGTGGCTTTGAGAAAGAGTTGTGCTCCACCTTAGTCTGTTGAGTGAAGGCCTCTCCTGAGAAGACAGGGTGTGACCCTGGGTGGAGTCGGGTGAAAAGGTGAAGTTCTTTCATCTTGTCACTAGACTCCAGAGCAGATTGACACATAGCTACCTGCCCACTGGCCCAGGTCAGCCTGGGATCCTGAGGCAAGGCCCACTAGGAGCACAGTGCCCAGGGTTATTTCCCAGTGCCTTTACTCCCGTCCTATTCCTGCAGCCTCCCATCTCCTCTCTCCACTTTCGGCCACGCTCGCGCTGCACCCCAGCCTGGGGACCTGGCCTCGGCTATCTCGAACCCCACTTCCCCATTGTGGAGAAATGAAAGCGACAGAAAAGGGATGTTCTTTCCCCCTGTGATGTGTCTGAGATTCTGATGGATGCTGGGACCTGTCCACACAGAGGGTCTACTAGGTAACCACACCCTCACTGCAGCCCTGTGCCTGGTGTGTGTGAGGGGCTCCCAGGCAAGACAAAAACCAGGGCCAGAGCCCAGAAGGCCTGGCTTCTGATCTTGCCTGCGTCGCTGACTTACTGTGAGGCCTTGAGTCTCAATGTCTTCTGTCAAATGGGAGTTTGGCACACTGATTTCTAAAGGCTATTTCAGGCTCTGACTAGGACTGTGTGTGTGCACTTCGTGTCCATCTCAGTGTGATTGTATACATCTCTGTGTAGCTGTGTATCTAGGTGTGTCCATGCCTGTGAATGTTCACGTGTGTTTACAACACCTATGGAGGAATGATTAGAGGGAAAAGGGATATTCCAGATAGAGACTCAGCTTGAGCAAAACTGGGTTGGCTGAAGTACTGTCAAGTGTATACCGGGCAAGGAGGGTATTGACTGTTTCCTGTTGTGGGGCTGAAGCACAGAACCAAAATCAAGGGAGGGGGCTTTAGAGGCTCAGCTCAGCTCTGCAGGACACGGGGAGACCTTCTCTGGCAGAGCCACCTTCCTGTGAAAGGGGGCTCCTGGGGAAGGAGGCCGGGAACAGCCATCCCTGGAGCCTGTAAGCTGAGCGTGGATGGCTGGTGGGTAGAGGAGACCCCTACTGGGACCAGCACACCAGGTCACCTCTCTGCCTCTTTCAGGCCAAGGTTGGAGCAGAGCAGGTGGCCCCGGGAGGGCTTGGCCTGGCTGGCTTCCCATGATCCAGAGCCCACACTGTCTCCACCTCCCTGTGTCTCAGGAGCCCACAACACTGCCTACCCTGAGAAATGCTGGAAGCTGGGTGCGGCCCCAGGCGGGGGACCTGTTTTTCCTGTTTCCTGCAGAGTTCCCTGCAGCCCTGTCCAAGCCTGTGCATTCATGAGTGAGGAACCTGAGCGGGCACTGAGCATCCTGACAGCGAGAGCAAGGGCCGGTCAGGTAGGAACGTGCGAGGGCGGGGTCCACTGGAGGTTGGGGCAGGTGTGTGCATGTGTGTGTATATACACTGAACCGGGGGTAGATCAAAGGGATCCCTGCCCTGCTCCCTCATCCCAGGCTGTGATAAATTCAGGCTTTGGAGCCAGGCAGCCCTGGGTATTAAGCCCAATTTTTCCAATTCCTGGCAGTGTGACCTTGAACAAATAGCTCAGTGGCAGTATCTGCTGAGGAATGAGGGTGGGGAATACAACTGAGATGCTGTGTGGAGGCTGCTCATCCCAGGCTTGACCTTTACAAAGTGAGGGATGGGGCTCCGGGGTCAGGAGCTCCTGACCCGGACTGGCCTAGGATCTGAGCCAGAGGTGGATGAAATAAAAGAATGTGGTTAGCTCAGACGCTGACCCATCTCCAGAATATCTGGGTCCAGTTACCCTCCCTCTGCCCAGAGAAGGGCAGGGCCTTCTCTGCACCTCTTGAAAGAGAGACAGTCCAGGAACCTTAGGTGGGCTGGGCCCCAGGAGAGCTGGGTTGACTCCTGGCCACCCAGGGTCAGCAGCCAAGAAATCTTTAAGTGCCATTGTCCTCTGGGAGGCTCTCAGAGGAATAAGGGAAAAGAGAGTCATCCTCCTCTGGGCTCCCATAGCCTTTTGTGCTTGAATCATTCATTCACTCATTCATTCATTCATTCATTATCTCATTCATGTTATACCTGCTTTAACACGTTAAGCCCCATGTCAGTCACCGGTGACTGACACTATACTTTCTGTCCGGAAGACAAAACAGGCTGGGCGCTTAACGTGTTAAATCAGGCCTCTTGCTGGATAGGGACAGAGAAAAGAATCAGATAGTCCCAGTCCTCTGGGAGTACCTGGAATGTGTTGCGGTAGAAGGTGGATGGACAAATTACTAACAGGCTATGAGGAATGCCTGGGGGTAGTGTTAGGAGGACAGCTTCAGAGATGAGGTGACATTTGAAAAGAACTTTGAGGGATGGGCAGGATGGAGTGCAATGTGTGTGGGTTTCCAGACAGAAAGAACAGCACGCACAAAGGCAAGGAAGCCTGGTAGGGCACTTGCATGGCTCATAGCTCCCTCCAGACTAGGAGCTCTTCAGGGCAGGGCCAGCCAGAACTGGACATGGAGGGGCTGGTGAGTGGTGTTAGACAAAGTTAGGCAGAAGCCAGTCCCAAGAGAGCAGGGAGTGAGGCCCCAAGGGCATCGGAGGTCAGAAAAGGCAGAAGACAGGACTGGGGACTTGGCTATCTCCGTAAGCAAAGGCTGGGGAGGCAGGAAAGGTGTAATCACAGGCTGGTGAGCCAGCCTGCGGAGGGAGGGGGTGGGCAGAGTCAGTCTGGATGGGGGCCATGGCAATGGAATCCCCAGCTGGCCCGGGAGGGAGGAGGCCGGGATATCTTAGAGCAGGTGGAAAAGGCAGCTCCCTAGGTTCACTGGAAACTTAAGGAAGTCTCCACCCCTCTCATTAGTGTCAGAGATTCCACCACAAGTGATTAGCAAGAGCATTGTGCAGAGCAATGGGATGTTGGCCCGACTCTGAGGAGACACCTGCCTTGGGGTTGGAGCTAAAGCAGCAGCGCAGAGGTGGGACTGGGTGTCCTGGAGGGACCATTCTCCCTATCTCCAGTGGGAAGAGGACCTCATGAGGGAGGTTTTATGGCCGCAGTTCTCTAAGGCCAGGGAATCCAGCCCGTGAGAGGTCTGAGTCTCAGGAGGGCAGGAAATGGCTGATGTCACTGAGGTTCTGTGGCAGGGCCGGACACCCCAAGCTGGTGGCCCTTCTACAGGCCCTCAGCCTCATGCTTGGGCCTCCACACTCCTCCCAGCCCATCTCCCAAAGTGTCAGATCTGATGGCCCCAGCCTTCGCCCATGCCCATATCCCACCATACCCCTTCAGGGGCCCTCAGCCTCATGCTTGGGCCTCCACACTCCTCCCGCAGCTTCTGCGAGTCAGCAACTCCCAGCCCATCTCCCAAAGTGTCAGATCTGACGGCCCCAGCCTTCGCCCATGCCCACATCCCACCATACCCCTTCAGAGCTCCCCACACTTACAATGTCTGACACTGAATCCCTCCTCTCCCCTCTCCTGCTCCTTCTCCCAACGCCTGAGCCGGGCCTCTTGTCTGCCTCTCTCTCCTGCCCAACTCCATCCAGACTTCCTCTGGGCCAGTCTCTCCAGCCTTCCTCCCAAACAGCTCTCAGACCTCTCCCCTCAGAGGTCCCAGGCCTGGCCCTAGCTTCGGGCTCATCAGCACTCCCCTGGCCCACCACAAGTCAAGACCTGTTGCTCCTCCACCAGTGGCCAGAGAGAGCATCCCAAAGATTTCAAGAGAAGGCCACATCCGAGCTGAGCCTTGAAGCTCATAACATCACAGCATACCTACTGTGTGCCAAGCATTGCTCCAAACATTTTATACCGATTACTTACTTAATCCTCACGCAGTTCTGTGATATAGGTTCCAATTATCACCCCATTTTATAGAAGTGGAATTAGAAGGTCTGATTCCAGAGGCCAGGTTCTTTGTAATCACTGGGGCTTGCTGCTCTGAAGGATAAAGAGTTGCAATTTCAACAGGTAGATATGAAAGGTGTGACTGGATTCCTGGTTGAAGGAGCAACATGAACTAAGGCTGAGAGAGGAGAAGTGTTGGGCACATTCAGGAAACTGCAGGTCACAGAGGATGGTTGGGGCTGGTGAGGTCGGCAGAGGCTTTCTCCTGACAGCAGGCAGGAGCCATGGAGGGCTTCAAGCAGGGGAATGACTTTGTCTTTTACAAAGACCCCTCTGGACTGGGGAGGACTGAGGCTGGAGGCAGAGAGGCTGATGCAGTGGCTCCAACAGCAAGGTGGAGGCGACAGTGGGCTGCTTGGAGCAGGGGTGGGAGGCAGGAAATGCTCTAATGCCAGGTCCTGAGTCCAGGCCTCGGGGAAGAGGGATCCCCGCAGTTTAGCCCTTCCAGAGCCTCTCCATCCCTGCTCCCTCTCAACTTGGTACCACATAGACTTCTCCCTGCCTCCTCACCCTGGATCTGCTCTGGCTCCTCAGGAAGGAACCTATGACCATGGGAGGGAGGTCACCAGTATAGGCTCCCTTCCTCCTGGTTGCACCTTTGCTAACAACAGGAGACAGGAAAGATCTGGGGTGGGGGGGTAGTTGAGTATTGGGAAATAAGGGCAACTGAGGCACCTATGTGTCTTTCAGCCTCCTTAACCTCAACATCAAGGGCCTTGAACTGCTGCTGAAAGGCCAGGCTGGGCATGAAGCTTAGGGTCTAAAGGAGTGGAAATCGCTGGCCCGACAGAATACCCAAGTCCCAGCCTCTCAGGACCCCAGTTTCCAACATGAAGGGAATTGTACAGCCCCAGATTATCAGGGTAGGAAGGACTCACACATGATCTGCCCTCTGTGTCCTCCCAGACACACCCCAGATATGAAAGGTGTGACTGGATTCCTGGTTGAAGGAGCAACATGAACTAAGGCTGAGAGAGGAGAAGTGTTGGGCACATTCAGGAAACTGCAGGTCACAGAGGATGGTTGGGGCAGGTGAGGTTGGCAGAGGCTTTCTCCTGACAGCAGGCAGGAGCCATGGAGGGCTTCAAGCAGGGGAATGACTTTGTCTTTTACAAAGACCCCTCTGGACTGGGGAGGACTGAGGCTGGAGGCAGAGAGGCTGATGCAGTGGCTCCAACAGCAAGGTGGAGGCGACAGTGGGCTGCTTGGAGCAGGGGTGGGAGGCAGGAAATGCTCTAATGCCAGGTCCTGAGTCCAGGCCTCGGGGAAGAGGGATCCCCGCAGTTTAGCCCTTCCAGAGCCTCTCCATCCCTGCTCCCTCTCAACTTGGTACCACATAGACTTCTCCCTGCCTCCTCACCCTGGATCTGCTCTGGCTCCTTAGGAAGGAACCTATGACCATGGGAGGGAGGTCACCAGTATAGGCTCCCTTCCTCCTGGTTGCACCTTTGCTGACAACAGGAGACAGGAAAGATCTGGGGTGGGGGGTAGTGGAGTATTGGGAAATAAGGGAAACTGAGGCACCTATGTGTCCTTCAGCCTCCCTAACCTCAACATCCAGGGCCTTGAACTGCTGCTGAGAGGTCAGGCTGGGCATGAAGCTTAGGGTCTAAAGGAGTAGAAATCACTGGCCCGACAGAATCCCCAAGTCCCAGCCTCTCAGGACCCCAGTTTCCAACATGAAGGGAATTGTACAGCCCCAGATTATCAGGGTAGGAAGGACTCACACATGATCTGCCCTCTGTGTCCTCCCAGACACACCCCCACACGCAGGATGAGCCTTCCTGAAGACTCTGCTTGCACAACCTCATAGAAGAGAGTTCACTATCTCCCTCTGATAGCACCTTCTGATTCCTGGATAGGAATTGTAGCCTGTGACCTTGGTCAAATAACTTGAATGATTTGTGTCTCAGTCTCTTTATTGGGCATGATAGCCTGGCTCCCAGAAGCATGTTGTAAGGATGGAATGAGGTGACATTTATAAAGCACATAGAGTAATACGGTTTGAAAAGGTCAACCCCCTCTGCCCATTCACTGTTAGAAAATTATTTTTTTTAAAAAATATGTTTTTATTGATTTTTAGAGAGAGGAAGGGAGAGGGAGAGGGAGATAGAAACATCAATGATGAGAGAGGATCATCAATCAGCTGCCTCCTGTGCACCCCCTGCTGGGGATCAAGCCCACAATCTGGGCATGTGCCCTGACTGGGAATTGAGCTGGTGACCTCTTGGTTCATGGATTGATGCTCAACCACTGAGCCACACTGGCTGGGCTAGAAAGTTATTCTTTGTGTTTGTCCCAAACTGTCCACCGGGGACTCCTGCTAGGATTTCCAGCCTGCCTTCTGGGGCCTTTGGGCACATCATCACCCTCCATTCTGGGATATCTGTCTCCTGCCTCCCAGATGAGTGAGAGATCTTATTGGTCACATTGGAGAGGAGGAAGGTGCATACCTTGTTCTCCAGGTGCTCACTGGGCAGTCAGGCCCTGTGAGTGTGTTATATACCCACTAGGGACAAGGCAGGGGAACCTCAAGATTGTGATAGTGTGGAAGGAAAGCTGGGTAAGCCTGGAGGAAACTGAATTTGACCCACAAATGAAGTCCCCAGACTTCCCATCCCCCCCCCCCC